GCACACGTATTTGTAAAATCTAAGTGACTCGTACAACATGGAATTCATATAAAACGGAATAATGAATAGTATTATAGGGGAGTCAACTGGTAGTACAAAAATTTCCAAATTTACTGCTATTTCTGAATTGCAAACTGATCTTTGAATTCTACTCAAATATCATTTGATTTGCACGTATAGTTACTATATTTCTTGAACGTAAGTGAAACTGTAATGCGATTGCTTTCTTAAACTTCCCACTAAACTATATCTTATAAAAATATAACATCCAGATTTATTATTCATCTCAGAGTAAGGTTTCCTTATTTGTCATTACGTGTGTTTACGACCATTGCTGTCTACAACAGATTTTCAATTTTAAAGTTTTCTACCCTATTAATGTTATATTTTGTAAATTAATAAAATATAGATCAATATTTATTATTATTAAGAGTTTATCACACTTAATTTATAGCCACAGTTATGCAATTTCACAACTTTTTATTATAAAATTAATATACATCAAAAAATTTACTTTGATAAAATGCATTTCAAGGTTTTTTAATTATAATACCTCTTCAGTTATTATTCTTTATTAAGGGTTTTAAAGTGAAATCAAGAGCACCAACAATTGGTTTACAATGTTTATATTTAACTCTTAAACTACAATACTAGAGTGTTTTCTACATATTACAATAGAATTATGACTAATAAATTCCTATTATAAACTACAGGTAACCCCTGTATAACATGGGAGTTACGTTCCAAAAAATTGCCGTGTTATGCAAATCTGTGTTATACAAACCAAAGATCTAGTGCGAAAACGGGGTTAGGTTCCAAAAATTAAAAAACACGCTGTTAAATCCTTATTTAAATCAAATTTATTATTCATTTTTTCCATAGGTAAAATACTTATTTATTATTTAAGTAAATATTTTACCAGAGGATTATTCATCCTATATGATGATCTCAGCATGAGCATCATCAAGTGGTAACAGTTTTTGGGTGTGTTTGTTAATAGCGATCGCTCTGCAATGGGAGTGCACTGCTGTTTGTAGGCATCTAGGAACGATGGTGAAAGAAAGATGGCGGCGCTCGCACTATCGATAGTATCGTGATGGAGGAATCTATAATTCTAAAATAAGCTTTTAGAGGCAAAAGAAGGGTCCCAATTGTAAAATTTAACCATTAAATGGATTATTTGTTGAGAAAGCATTCAAAGTAGTCACAAAAACAATTAGAATGCTCGCGCAGAGTTACGCAGACATATAAAAGAATGCACCCTTTATTACATTTCATGTTGTACGAGGGTTTTACCCAATTCCCAAAGCGTGTTAGAGTGAATCCATGCTATAGAAGTGCCTTGTTATACGGGGATTACCTGTATTATAATTCTATTGTGATATGTAAAAAACACACTGTAGTATCATAGTTTGTTAAGTAAAAGTTAATTTTAATTATAAATATTGTAAACCAATTGTTGGTGTTTTTCTCTGAACTTTAAAACCCTCAATTAAGATTGTAAAAAATGTTTGATAAGACTTATGTACGACAAACAGGTTCACAGAAATATTAAAAAAAAAAAATTCCTATTTTTCATACCTTCAAAAATATTTCAATCAAAATTTTTAGTAGTAATATTTTATTTTAAAAGAATTGTCCCAATTTAATATAATCTATGAAGAAACTGAAAATAATATTGCTTATTTTTTTACAGATGAAATATTTCATTGTTCTTCTACTTTTCGTGTTTTTGTTTTGTACTCAATCAAATGAATTCGATAACTTGGTAAAGAGCAACAATAAAGTCGCATCTTTGTTTTATAAAGAACTGAGAAATAATGATGGTAATATTTTCTTTTCACCTTTAAGTCTAACTATTAACATCGCCATGTTATACCGTGGCGCAGGATCAGCTATGGAAGGAAATATTCTTCACTTTGATGAAGAAATTCATGAATCTTTCAGAAATCTCATGAATGGCAGATTCAAAAACAGTTCTATAGAAATTGCAAATGGTATCCTCTTCGATAGGAAATTATGGATTAATCAGTCATATATAAAAGATATCATAAATTACTACAATCCTATGCTGGCTTCAGTTAATTTTAATGCAGATCCAGTTAAAATTCAACAATACATTAATGATTGGGTGAATAAAAAAACACACCATCATATAAAAACAATTGAATTATCTACCGATGATCAAACTACTTTAGTGTTTTTAAATGCTGTTTATTTCAAAGGTATTTGGTTGACCCAGTTCAATAAAAAAAACACACACGACGACTTTTTCCAAAATAAGAATAATGTAACTAGCATAAAAATGATGAAGACAAAAGGTATTTTTCGTTATGCTTTCAATAATGAATTCGATTTAGATGTATTAGAACTCCCATACAGTAATGATGATGTAAGTATGTTTATATTGATGCCTAGAAATATAAATGGCATGGAAAAGGTTGAGAATAACCTTTCTAGTGAATTGTTCGATCAAATTTTTTGTCATCTTACAACTAAATCTATGACTATTTTTATGCCCAAATTCTCTCTAGAAACATCGTATGATATGTCAAGATACTTAGAAGATTTAAATTTGGAAGGGTTCGTTTATGGCATATCAAACATCTGTAATTGTGATAAATTGATGCTGGATGGAATGTTTCAAAAAACGAAACTAATTGTTGACGAAAAAGGCACAGAAGCCATTGCCGTGACTTATAGCAAAGTGTCTCTTAGTGGTTTTCAATCAGAAATACAACTGAAGATTGATCGACCATTTTTATTTGTCATAAGAGATAGTGTAACGGGATTAATTTTGTTTCTCGGAAAAATTGAAAATTTGTAATTGCATTTAAAGCGAGTTTTGTGTAATTATTATATTGTAAAATCTGTTGCTATAGAAAAACATTAAGCAATTCAGATATTGCAATCTGTATCTATGCAAGCATTAATATATAAAATGTAAAACCATTTTTATATAGAGAAAAATAAATGATACAAATTTACATATTTATTTCTGTTTATTGTATACTTCTAACAAAACTAAGTTTTGGTACAATTCCTTACTTATTTCTATCAAATATTTACCATACTTGTAATTTCCAGTGCCTTACAATTTATGAAAGAAGCCATTACTTTCTTTCATCGCAAACCGTCAAATGTTCTACGAACAGAGGGACCAGGATCTTTCAAAATACTAAAATCCAATAAATCTGGTCGTTCGTGACCTTTCATAGGAGTCACATTATCCTCGATATTCCAACTCCAACCTTGCATTAGAGAATATTTCTTTGCAGAAAAAAATACTGCTAGGAGCATGGCCATTTTTATGCCTCGTGGAAAAGAATTAACTGAAAAATTTATAATTAAAATTACTTACAATTTTTAACTAATTACACAATTTTAATTTATTTAATTTTACTTAATTTAGAAAGGTGTCAACATAAAATCAATCACCATACTTACACATTTTTCCATAAATACCACCAGCTGCTAAACCACCAATAAAATAATTATAATGATCATCTTTTTTTCTCAAATTTGATAAGATACATGCTGTTGCGCCTATAGTTGCACCCATTCCGGCTGAAATAAATTTTTTTAGTAACTTTTTATGTACAGATAATTAATAATATTACGATTTAATTTTTTAAATAAAAACACTATATTGCCATTATCAAGATAAAAATTAAATAATGTTGCAGATCAAATTATGGTAACAATTCAAAAGTTAATACGATATTTTTTATTTCCTTAATTTTTGGCTCTTTCCACCACTTGTGGGAACTAAGAGGACCCTTTTTCCAGGTTCGTTTTGGGGTCAGCCAGGCTCTCTATGGAACCAATGAATGGAGAGAGATTTGGCTCGACACGTCTGGGACAGATTGCCCACAAAGCAATCCCAAGTCCTCCAGAGCTGTTGGCTGACACCTTAAGTGCCTCACCCGTCCAGCCGGTGGAAATTTAACATTTGAAGGTTACATTTGCCGTATATCTGCGCAGATAAGACAACCTTCAGATAGGACGAGGNTGGAATTTTTACAAGGAAGAGAATCAGCATTATCCTATTCAAACAACAATTTAGCTTTAAATATTTATAAAAATTTATTAGTAAAAAGAAACGTCTGTTTCTCACCTTTAAGTATTAATACGTGTTTGGCAATGCTTTACTTTGGTACTAATGGAAAAACTGCCGAAGAAATTCATACGTTAATGAATTATAAAGAAATTGGAAATTTGCAAGAGACTTATCGTCGTATATTGATGAAACTAAAACGATCCGATGATGCTAATCTAACAAATGCCATATTTTATCAAGAGGACTATCACCTGTCTAATAAATACAGAAGTATTATGAAGAGAGTTTTCAATGCTGAGATAGTATCAATGGATTTTCGCATGGAAAAATCAGAGAATTACATTAATAAATGGATACGGAATGTTACAAATCATAAAATTAAAAGCATTATGCAAGATTCTCCAACTAATGAAACATTGATGTTGCTTTTGAATGCATTTTACTTCAGAGGAACTTGGTTATTTCCATTCAGCAATCGTTCCACCAAGAGAAGACATTTTTATAACGAAAACAATTCAACTTCATACGTCTATACGATGAAATTAAAGGAAAAATTACCATTTTATCGCAGCAAACAGTATAATTTATCAATTTTAGAGTTACCAATTAGCAACAACAGAACGAGTATGATGATAATTCTACCGGATAAGAAATTCGATTTAACAGAAGAGAAATTAAAACACTTCATCAGAAACTTGGCACCGACTGATGTTGAAGTTTATCTACCCAGATTTAAAATTGAAATGGCATTCCAGTTACAGGATATTCTGAAACGTTTAGGTGTGAGGAAGATTTTTACTACATCGGCGGATTTAAGCAATATCACTAGAGATTCTGGTCTATTCGTTTCTGATATGCTTCATAAAACCGTACTCGAAGTTAATGAATCGGGAATAGAATCTTCTAGTATATCTGCTGTACAAATTGTTGGCAAAAATATCGTTTTTATTGAGCATATCTTCAATGCTAATCGTCCTTTCGTCTTTATCATTTTAGATAAACCTACAAATATCATTTTACTAATGGGAAATGTAAAAACTTTATAGTGATATTCTCTATTTCTCTCTCTCTACTTCATACTTGATAACCCAAATAGATAATAAACGTGAATTTAAACATCTGTAAAATAAGATATAAAAATTAAGAAATTTTTCATATTCCTTCTTTTTGTATTCAACAAGCAGCAGCAATGTAAGTCTACCTTTATACATAATTTAAAATACTTTAAATTTTCTTAAAAATTAACTTTATCCTACAGGATGAAGTCTATGAGTTTCGGCATATTGTTAGCTTTGGCTACGGTTGCATATTCATACCCTTCAAGTTTAATACCAGGCCTAAATGATTATTCTCTAAAAGTTCACAGAACTTTAATAACCGAAGGAACAAATGTCATTACGTCTCCTTTATGTTACTTTTCTCAGCTAAATTTATTATATTTAGGAGCAAGAAATCGAACAGCTCAAGAATTACGCCATTCGCTAGGATACGATTCGGCCAAAGTTCCAGAATTTCAAGTACATTCATTCTGGAAACAGCTATTAACTAGATTAATTCATCTACACAATAATAGATACATAAAAATGGCAAATGTTGCTGTTGTGAGATCAGACTTCCCTGTTAAAGAAAGTTACAAAAGAAATGTAAGACAGTATTACAATGCTTCAGTAATCAAATATAATGTCTTTGAAAGCCAAGAAAATATGAGGTCTGTTAATAACTTTATATATAGGGACACTAATGGAAAAGCACCACCTGTTCTGTTAGCACCACTTGATGCTTACACTCGCTTAGCCTTATTAAACAGTGCATATTTTGCCACAGAATGGAAATTCAGATTTCAAAAGGTACAACAAAGTTCCTTCTATAATAGAGGTCTAAAAGCTCATCCGTCACACTTGCCATTTCTGAAAGTAAATGGAAGCTTCCCTTATGCTAATTTAAAAGTCCATGATGTGTCAGTTAAAGCAGTTGAGTTACCATGTGAAGAAAACATCTCGATCTTATTCCTTCTACCAAATTCATCAATGGAAGATCTCATTAAACTAGAGCAACGTCTTACTGATAAATCTCTAAACAAAATTCTGGAGAGCATGAAAAATTCAAGCGTTGGGGTTGAAATTCCTAAATTTAAACTGCAACCGGGCATAGATTTAATGTGGAAGATACAATTTCTCGGTGTTCGGGATTCCTTTAATATGGCTGCTAATCTGAAAAATATCAGCGAGAAGAATGGATTGTTTGTAAGTAAAGTTTTGCACAAAATGGTTTTGGATGTAGATAATTATGGTCGAAGACCAACTCAAGCAGTTTATAGAATAGAAAATAAGTTTGTAGCCAACAAACCATTCTTATTCTACGTTCGAGATTCTGTAACAGGAATGATACTGTTTATGGGAAGAATTGTAAGTCTTGCTTCTAAATAAAATTTTATTCTGAGTTGTTTATGTTAAATAAATTTGTAATTTATTTTGTATAATTCTTCAATTGTTATAATATAATAATTTTGAATATTACCATAGATACTGATTGATCATATTAATCACAACAATACAATATTCAGAAATTAATTACAATATAGTGAATATAAATAATATAGTTCAATATTTAATTTAAACATAATAATCTCATTAAAATATAAAAATAATATTAAAATTCAAAGATATTAATAAATATAAGAAACAATATAGCAATTTACTTTATAAATCGAAATTTTCTTCTTATTTCCTTCTCGTGTTCAAGAGTAGAGCTGGGCTGGATTTAGACTTGTTGTGGTCCTAAGCTGTAACGTAATTATAACAGAAATTTCCCCTTCACCAAATAATACTATATGTAAAAATGTAAGGCCCTAAGCTAAGCTTAGGGCCTTACATTTTTTCACAATGCAAGGCTCTAATTTGCAATTTATTTAGCTTACGTACAAATATAGCCTTGGGTAGATATTTCTGATCATTCTACTCTATTCAGAGACGTCTCCTCTTCTCTTAATCCTCATTCCATGATATAAAGTAATAAACGATATAAAATGTCCATCATATACTAACTTGTAAGATTCAAAGTCATCCATTTCTCTTAATAATGTCCATAAAGTCTCTCAAATCAAACTTGTGAGAAAATTACTGTGTGCAAATCAGTGACATAGTGTTGCAGTTTTGTACGCCACATGCCATATTGCCAGGGAGACAATGGCAATGCTGAAAAGACTGCATAATTTCCCAAAATTTGTGGTCACAGAGATCTTCATCCCCCAATTTTTTTCTGTGGGGATTCTCAAAGCACAGAGTGCAAAGAAATAATCCACAAACTGAAATATCACATTACAGAAGCAATTTGGTTTATCACACCTTAGATTAATTAAATTAAAAACTATCACTGACTAAAACAGCATGAATCAACAATCAGATTAAGGTACGACCAATCTCTGTGCTTTATCCGTTGATAAAAATAATGTAAAAAATACTAGCTAGAGGAAAAAAAAAATATCTATTTACGAAAATTTAAAGAGCATATAATGATAACGAATAATAATAAAACACTAATAAACTTGAATAGAGGAATGGAGGCAGACGACGTATGGGATGGCGTCATCTTTATTAATTAGTGCCGTAGACACGGCTAGAATAATAAGAGTTTTATGCATATGGCAACAAATTTTACTAGAAAAAATCCACTCCATAGATAAAATACCTTTAGAAATCAATAAAATTGAAATAAAAAAGCATGAGACATAAGAGAATTTGTAAAATATATTAGTGAAATTTTAATTTTAATTAACTGCTAACTATAAAGATCATACACCAGTGTGATAATGGATACTGTGATAAACTTTGGAGAGAATTTAATTTTTTTTTCTTGATTTTTGGGCTGCAATTTGAAAAAACTGTAGACCTATAAAAATTCCCACTGTCATCCGTCGCTCCTTAATCTCAAGAACAAAGTTAGATAGATGAAAGACGATACCAGATATGGAAACCTTAGGGCAGGAGGCCCCGATTAACTATATAACTTCCGACACAAACAGAAGTCATGTTATTTCAATTCAAAAGTTTTCCCCTGTAAGGTGTTATATAGATGCACAACTCTGTTATTAAAGGAAAAGTATGATGTACAGGGGCAAGCCACTACTAATTTGAAGTGGCGAATACATGTTTTATATTAAATACATTAAAAATATGATTAAAAATTGAGGCTCAGCATTGTGACGATGTCACAATAAATAACTGCTCGTCCGATTTTGTTTCTTAAGACAAAGTTAAAGATTCATATTAAATAAAATGGAATTTGATATACATTAATCTCAAATGAAATAATCTACAATTCTGGAATTAAAGTTGAAAGCTAATAGTAATACAAATGGTGTAGCTTAGAGAGCAAGTTGGAAACAACAATTAACATAAATCACTTTTTTAAATTGACTGTATTTTATATATTGTATATAATTCTATTTATCTCCAGGAGAGTCTTCTTCAAAGTTATTCTCTACTCGCATATACATGGTCATTAAAACAGTTCCAGGACTAATCCTGTAACTTTTTTACTCAAATGTATTCATATCTAAATATTTCAAAACATAGCCACCTTCAAAATACTGTTCATCCACAGCCACACACTTCTTTTAACACTCGTACAACTGTTTGAAATATTTCTGGAACTCTCTTTTTGGCAATTTGTTCCACACATCTTCCATGTGGCTGTTTTCAAATCATGGTAACATTGCCCTTTTGATTAGTAACTTAATATTTCAGAAAAGGTAAAAATTGCAAGCTGCAAGATTACGTGAATATGGTAAATGAGGAAACAATGTTGTACCTGTTTTATCTGAACAATTTTGAAAAGAAGCAAATGGTACTCTTTCACGACAATACTCTGGTGCAGCATTCACTTCTTGTTCAAATTCATCTGAATAAAATAAGCATGGCATTGCTTTACACAGCAATGCTATGCTTATTACACAGCCAAGCAGCAGAATATCGAGGTCTTTTGGGATCGGGCGTCGATCATTAAGGCTACAAGATCCAGGCAGGCCGTGAAACATCTGGAAAAACTAGAAATTCACAAGGCGCAGTTGCACACAAACTGCACCTTGGGATAGGGATGCTGACGGATTGTCATCGGCATGGAAATCCTTCTATGATGAGTTGACGTAGTTTATGTAAGCGGGAAGGTTAATTAAGATAATTTTTACTGGATGTATATATTTTATTTTATTTCTTTATTTCGTTTTAATTAACTTGTATAATTTTTACAATTATTTAAGCTTGGTAAATGTTAACATATATTTACGTAACCGCTTTTTGAATTTTGTTTTACGTAATTTCGAATTCTTCGTTCGATTCAAAATGATAACTGAGGATGATCGCTTAAAGCGTTCAAAAGCGTTTTTAAGATATTAAAAAACGATTTTCTGGATTGTTTAAAGGTTTTGATTTTTATTTATAGTTCCAGTAAGAAAGTATTTTATTGCTTTACACACTTCCTATTTGCCTAATCTTGCACCTTATGATTTTCACCTTTTAATCAAACCAAAAGGCACTGTTAAATGTGCAATATTTCCACAATGAAGTTGCTGTGAAAGCAACTGCAAAGGATGCTATGGGAGTTTCTAGAAATGTTTTGAACAGTTATACAATTATTGAAAAAAAGTGTAGCTACCGACAGACCAATGGTTTGAAGGGGATGTGTTTAAAACGTTTTCATATCAATACATTTACTAATATAGCACCTGTACTGAATGTACCACGTACATCACTGCAAATAAAATATAACAATAACGTTATAAACATCTAAAATTTAATTTCAAACATAAATATTTATTTTAAAAAACAATCTTAAAAATTACTTCCAAATTTTAATTAAATACAATTCATTAATTCAAAATAGCAATTTAAAAATATATTGATTCTAAAATTATAAACAAATTTAAAATCAATAATTATTTTTTTTTATGCATTAAACAACAAAAAAACTAAAGACAGTTGCAGGAAATCCTTAGGAAGTACAAATAAAAACTGATAAGAATTTTCTTTGTTAATTAAATATTGGCCTATTCACTACACTAAAAAAGGTAAGTTTCATTTTTAAATTCTAAAATCAAATCAAATATTTATATCTAAAAATTTTAATATATATATA